ACCGTGACAGACGGGGCTTTGGGCCCATCACAGACCGTGACAGACGGGCTTTGAATCCATCACAGACCGTGACAGACAGAGCTATGGATCCATCACAGGCCGTGACAGACGGGATTTTCGACCCATCACAGACCGTGACAGACAGGCTTTGGGCCCTTCATAGACCGTGACAGACGGGACTTTGGACCCATCACAGACCGTGACAGAGGGGGCTTTGGACCCATCACAGACCGGGACAGACGGAACTTTGGGGCCGTCACAGACCGTGACAGACAGTATGAAGAAATGTACGTCAGTATGCATAAAAAAACAACAGCTTTTAGAACGTCGGGTATATCAGCTATATCGTGTTTCACATTTTTAATCCCGCAAGGGATTGCGCTAACAGCTTTTTAATTTAAATTTAACAAAATAACGAGTAGATGCATAATTCGAGTTCGAATATAAATGAAATTTTTCGAAAATCTCTTCTATACGAGATGAAGATAACAGCAAAAGTTTCTGCTGATGTCATCTATAATTATATTGGCTGATAATTGTATATTAGAAAAATAAAATCTATTCCATCGATCAACGTGTTTCATGAAGTGACAGATAGACTAATTCATAGTAATAAATAGAGCATTGATATAGCGTAAATGTAGACCACCACTCGTATTAAACTGTTTGACGATATATCATTCATAGAAGAACATATAACAGTTGCGATGGTGAACGTAAGCATGAGAATCCATAGCTTCATCCCAAATTTGATGATAAAATTGGCCGTCATAAGAGAAGTAATTATTTTACATAACAAATGTGGCTACACATATAATAAATTTGTTTTTATTTAAGATGATCTAACATGTTTTTCAATGTTAAAAATTCTTCTACTTGCAAGATCATCCTATAAAGATCATCAACATCTTTTGTGTATAATAAAGTTTCTTGTCTCATATGTCATAAGAAGTCATCGAAAAATTGAAGATCTTTATAATTGGATGTTATAAACCAGAAATAGTTGGTCCACAGGAGTACCAGATTTATGAGCTTTTAGTAAATAATAAAGATGAGCAAATTCAACTTTATCTATTTTCATACATAATTGCTCATATTGTTTTTATGTAAGCCATTTAGCCAGATGTAATTCTAGTAAATATTTATTTGTGCGATTAATGATATCTGCTAGAGGGTCAGTACAGCTATTACATTATCAGGTAATTCGATATTGCTGAATAATCTTATCAAATGGTACAAGTATCAGTATAAAAGAGTCAATATAAAATAAGGAATCAATACATAATACTATATCTATTATTCTATAAGTCGATTTATCTCAGGGATACGATGTACCTGATGAAACACATATAGATTGACTCAGCTTTATGTTCTGATTCCGAATATAACACTGATTTGAAGTTGAATGAAGATTATTCTGCGGATGAGAGTGGGGTGTGAGTTTAACCTTGTTAACTGAAGGCATACCGGGATTTATTTTTTTGGGATTTCTTTCTTCTCCAGGATTTATTCGAATTTACTAATGTGTATCAGTATTTTAATGCACCCACACTGCAGGTATCTATGCATGTACTAAGAGATGGTGTGAGGTTTTGTCCGAAATGCATAGGGATTTATTCAAAAAGTCCCAATAAATTCCAAAAACATAAGTCCTAGTGGCTGCTACGTTAACTACCACAACGTGTTTCGAACATAAGGGTGAGGGCGTGAGCTTCAATATAAATTGAAATCGAAACAGAAAGTATATAGGATGTGGATGTATGGGTGTGGGTGTGCGTGTTGATTCAATATTAAATCCACAACAAGTTGCACACCCACACCCTTGACACAATTCAACAAGTCATAGAAGTTCCACTCTGAGTCTCGTATACGTATGTTTTTTTTCTTTAATGCCTGTAAATTGTGCATTGTATTAACAAGATTCAAAATACACCTTGGATTTTCGACATTTATTAAAAGTACCTCACACTGAATACCAAGTGGCGAAAGACTCAATTTAGCACAATCTCGCTTGTTATAATACCGTTTAGAATCTTTTAGGCATAGCCGACGAATCGAACTATGTGTCATTTCGAATGGCGGCATTTGTGACTTCGACTTTCCGACATAATTGAATATTAAATTATAGAGACGGGGTGCTCGATCCAGTAAAGCTTGCAATTGACATTTGCCGTTCTCATTATCATTGCAGAATGATACTGTAAGTTCAATCAATTGATCCAACAATGGAACATTCAACCAAAAATGGTCGTCTATAGGCATATCTAAGGTCAGTCATTTAATATTAGTAATACGAATATGAGGTAAGATGAAATTTTTAAATGAAGGACGCTTGTAGGTAAGCTTCGACACGCAAATATATGACCAGTAATCCTTATTTTGAGGACAAGTCGATTTGGACAATATAGTGCCACTAATAGAAAAATTACAAAAAACAAATGGTAAAGTATACAGATTGAAAACTCTAGTATCTAGATCACAATCACATCAAATATACCACTGATGTTCATCAATCCAAAATCCACTTCGAAATGAGTCGACCATTTTATCCAATAGTTGAGGTATGTTTTTCGTGTTGATAATAGAAGGCACGTTCCAATTCATTTGAAATCGTAGTATTTTCAGTTTAGGAAAATTATTACGAATAATTTGTTCCATTCGATATCCGTCCATATGAGTACCAAAAGATACGACATACAAATTACATAAATTGGGCATATTTCGTAAGATTTTTCGCAACTTTTCCTTCATCGTCAGCCACTGCTATATGGAATGAGATTATCGATGGAATAGTTGACGGTAGAACTTCTTCATTGGAACGATAAACTAAATCGACAGTAAGACGCTGAAAGTGAGGTGTATTTTTGAACAGTAGTACTAATTGGCTAGGGTAATGACTATAATTTAGGAGAAAAAGACGTTCCATAGTTGATGAAAGCACTGTTGGTGCATAAAAAACTATATCCCTTCTATCTCGAGGGTGTGGGTGTGGGTGTGAGTTTGTGGGTGGGTGTGGATGTGGGGGGTGGGTGTGTGTTTGTATGAAGATAGGGTGTGGGTATGGGTCTGCGTGTCTGTTTGTATGACGATAAGAAATCCACACCCACACCCGAGACTAATTGAGATCCCGATCGCGGCTACTCACTGCTTTACAGGATTGTCGACTAGACACAATGAATTTCATCTGTTTTCAATACAATTTTTCTAACGACTTTGAAATGAGTTTGCGCAAAACTAATATGTTTTCACTGTTTCTATTCAACGAATTCCAATTAAAGAATGTAGCTAGTGAAAGTTTTTCAAAATATGTTCGGAAAGTATTACTATATTCTCAGTTTTGGTGTGGGTCTGAATCGAACAGAAACTAATGTCTCACATCCACACTCACCCATATCCTAATCCTACAAACAGAATTTCCGAATGTAGCTTTATTCTTAACATCACACAGGCACTGACCACACTGGATTTGAGTATCAATTCAATTCAAACTGATGGAGCACGCTATCTTGCAGATGCTTTACACAACAATAAAATAGCATGCTTCTTGCAATTTACCTACATTATTTTTATCTTCATTTCTTTCAATATAGACAATTACTTCATGAGATCTATTGAACAACTCGATCAACAACGATGGTATTCCGTTTTTTCTTTTATAAACACATTTACTCTATTTAATCTTAGAGCAAATCAAATTGGTGATATGGAAATAAATCATTGAGCCAATTCAATGATAACTAACAAGGTAAATTTCAACTCTGTTTTATTCTTTGGTCTTTCATTCAACATCAATTGTGAATATATTTAAATAGAAATTGAAGAAAATATCTCTTGTATGGAATAGCATTTCTGACAATTTACAGCAGTGGGCGTGAGTATAAAAGTCTTCATTATGCTAAAATCCACACCTATATCCACACCCTTGTTTGATATCGAAAACAATATCTACTATTTTTTATCGATATTTTTTCTCAAACATTTCTTGTTATTATGGACGGTACATTATCGAGATCTTTCATAGTTCCTTTGCAATCAGTTTTTAATATATTTTAAAAAGATCGAATTATTGGTGCATTTCTTCAAAGTAGGTCATTCGTGATTCTTCAAAAATTTTAATAGACGGAGTGTCAGTGTCGGCATGCGACATGAGTTTCCTTTCGAATCATATCCACGTCCACACGCTCATGGCAATTAATTCACTCAATGGTTCACCTTTTGAAGTTAACTTCATCGACATTGGATTGTGTTTGTGCATGAAATGTACACCTATTGAGAGACCACTATGTTCGTCATAACAATAAGATAAATTCGATAGATAATTCCATTGTTCAATAGTCAATGTAGATTGATCCGATTGCAAAAGATTCAAAGTTGGAAGCTAAAAAAAGTCAGCAATTTGTGAAAGTTCAATAAATGCTTTTAAAAAGTATGTTAATTGTGGACAAGATGAATGTATAACATTGATTAATTTAAAAGTTTTACATAAAAGTTTAAAATTTTTAAACATTGATTTTCAATGATTCGATTGATGAAAGTGCATAGTAAAAAAATAATTATTTTATTACATTTCGATCAATAATTTATATGGACTAAAGGAAAGTTACAAGTATTTGTAGAAGGCGTAAGAGATTCTCTATAATAAATTTAACTGAATTGTTTTTTTTTCAATATTGCTAAAGTATAATACTAATAAAGCTCGAACGAAGATCAAGGATTGGAACATAGCTAAGAAGAATTTTAATCAATGTCAAAGAGAGTTTTCCTAAGAATTTTATCATAATTTATTGTAATGATTTCATAAATTCTTGATTATTAGCAGACTCTACAAATTTCAATTAGTTTATAAGAAAATTGAACAAATTAGTTTTCTTAAAATTCATATGAGTAAGTTTTCAAAGATTTAAAAAACTATAATTTCAAATTTTGTGTTCTTATTTTTACACTAATTTTCAAAAATCATCCAAACTGAATTAAATAATTTTTGAATTTCGATTTATTTTTGTAAAGGAGAAGCAACGAATTGATATTTGGCTAATAACAACGATAAAATGAATTTAAAATCGAAGACCAATATTCATTAAGTTTTTATGTTTTTCCTCATTACAAATGAAAATGAAAATTCTAAAGTAAGAAAGCATTTTTCTTTTCGGTGGTAGGTTTAGATGTTATTTGATTGGAACTCCAAAGATTTGAATACTCGATATTTCGATCGATTTCACTCATTGAAATATGTCCTCTTTCTTTTTCCAATGGAGCAATATTGTTTCTACGCGCTTTTCTAACCAACACAACACTAATAGAACTGGCAAACAATGCACTATTTTACAAAAAAGAAAGTATCCATACTGATTTGACTTTGATTACTATAGAAAGAACTCAAGTCTTAACGAATAAGACATGCATTCTACCAGGAAGAAAATGTCAATATAATTTTTTTAAAGTCTTATACTCTCAAGTTATCTGCAAAGGAGAACATTCGAGGATTCCATATCTATGACTAGTTCTATCCTTCTCATCAAAATCCATCTACTCTACTCTCTTAAACAAAAGGTGTAATGAGGAATCATTCAGAAGTTCAGCGAAGATGTTGATTTTTTTTAGGTTTTATTTCATTATCACTAAACGATCAAAGGTTCTAGATAGCTTTTAAAACAAGCATTCTGAATAGGTAACACAAGGATGCGGATATGGGTGTGAGTCTTCTATTCCCAAACACCCACACTATATCTTTCAAGCGAATCTATTCGATCTTGCGAATTCGAATAAATGTAGATCATGAAAATCTATTGTTTTCTAATAAGACTTGGTTCAAAATGGTGAAAATTTGGAAAACGTCATAAATCTGAAACTTCTAGAATATTCCAATGAAAGTCCACATATAATGAAAAAATTGGATAACAATTATTATATTGACAAAATGTTGAATCTATGTCTTTAACTGAAGACTAGACGAATATTTGGCACATAATAGGAAAGAAAATCTTCTTTTCACGAAGATCATTTAATTACGAGACCGTCATTTTTCAGTTTCTTAAGTTTTCTCCTTAAATAGCATGAGATGAGACTACAAGAATAGAATATCTGATAGTACATAAATATTCTTAACTATATGTGTGAGTAAAAGGTTATTATCATTTGTTATAATAGAATAAGATAAATATTTTTTTGTTATATTATGATGATATCCTATCAGTTTTGGGTATTCGTGCATTCAAGTATATATCATTGTACGTTCCTAGGCCTTCTTTATGCTTAAGTTTGTTCAGAGAATATGACATGTATTCATTTGGAGTCTTACACAAACCGAGTCTTATAGACACAATAGATAGGAGTAGACATAGAAGCGTCTGACCATAAATATAAATATTCAAATGTAGACAATACAATAGACATGTATGTAACAATTTAGATATGCTTCAAGAAATAAGACATAAGTATACAAGATTAGATATAGATTCAGGACGTTTTATGTAGATATAGAGATTAATAGAGAAATTAAGGATTAGGTCAAGAAAAAAAATAAACCTGACATAAAAGTGAAAGATTAAGAATCAAAACAAGAAGTTAAATGTAGAATTATTCAGCAGTAGACCACTAAGTATGCTAGATAGAACCATATTTTACTAGAGCTCTAAAAGCTTCCGTCTGATAACTTTTTCTTTTATAAAGGAAAGGTTAAGAAAGTTTTTACCAAGCGGTTCTCGACAAACTCTGAAAAGAAAAGTCTTTCTAGATATTCAGTTTGAAATTAACTGGAATTTTTCGTTTTGCAGACGGGTCTAGCCGATTGGGAGAATAATCATCAAATAGTCTTACCTGTTGAGGATGGTTGAATCGAATCAAACTTGTTGATATTGTTTCTAGTAAGTCAGCCATTTATTTTCTTTTTTTTATTTGTTTTCTTGCTTGCTAACAAAGAAGATCGAATTATTTTAGTTTGCATTCCATTATTAGAACATTTAACAAGTCGACAATAAGAATATACATGACGATTATGAATATTTATTTCACAGTTACCATCAAGATCACATTTCAATGCCTCCTGAAAATAAAATAAACATAATAGAAGGAAAAATATAGATCTTCATTTGAGTTGTCATCGTTCAGTATTTCATTTGAAAAATATTTTTTACACAGTTTATGTACTATAACGCCAAAATATGAATACATAGCAGAAACTTCACAAATTCTACATTCACTTGACAGTGCTGTTGACTGTCGATTCGGGGATGACTTTTCCATGATTAAGACGTTTCTCCCGATTTGATTAAATCTAAAAAAGTAAATGAATTATATTAGAATTATAATTCTCAACAGAAAATTATTTTCGAAAAGATTCGAACTTTGACCAACTAAAAATCAGGATCAAAATAATGATAAAAATATTGTAAACAGTATAACTAATATAATTTTTTCAATCATATTATCTTTCTAGCACGTCTATTATCCCTCATAAAAAGTATAATGCTGATTCAAATGCTATATGCTTATTTTATAAATATAAACAATGTCATATGATAAATCAAAAATAAGGTGAACGAGTAGAAATAAGAAAAAGAAAGTGTCAGATTGTGTTTTTTCTTCGAAGAACGCAAAGAACGCTGATGCTAGAAGAACTATCAATGTATCAACGATTAGAGTTTAAAAAATGTTGACTTTCAAAGAAGCAAAGAAAAACAGCAGCATAATTTTAATGACGTTTTTTTTCATATAAAGTAGACGAACTGCTGTTTTGTTCAATCTTATCTGTTCTCTCAATAGGTTACATTTAATTTAACGTCAGATCTTTTTAGAATATTGATGTTTGATAATAAATAATATTTATTTACATCAGTGAACAATCAACACTTAAAAATACTCCCATCTAATAAACGTTGGATATGTAGAGTATCTGCTGAATATTCATATGTTATTGTTGTTCCATATCATTCATGGAAAATTTTCTTTAAATGACATACCAATCTCAAGAAACAAATTAGTTTAATCTTTTGTTATTTTATTCAAACATTATTTCAATATAGAGATCGTGTGCCAAAATCGTGGCACACGTTATGGTAAAATAGTAATTGCTTGTAAAAGATACGCCAATCAAAGTTCAACATCTCTAAGTAAATAAATCTCTACTAACGTTCTCTCATGACTTTTTTCTTCGTAAAAGTGACGATCTACATGATGTTACTATTGCCCGCTATAGCGAGTAGAACAAAGATCTTACAAACCCTTATAGAAATTGAATGTGGATAAATATACCCGTGGATACTTTTCTCATATGTTAGCATCTCCATTGCGCGCAGCTGCACTTCACATCCATATTATTTTTCTAAATGTCATGATTTTAAAAATCAGAGTTAAGAAGATTATAAAAGAATCCTGTTTAATGTAGATTAATTCAACACATCTCAAACTGTATGTTTGTCAGTGCTATTGTCAATTTATTTAGTTTTTTTCTATTAATCGGTAGAAGAATGTGTCTTATCTTATTAGCACTGAATTTTTTTCCACCAGATGGCGAAATCAGATGAAAGCATTAAAAATGTGCTAGTTTTTTTTTTTCTTTAAAAAGAACATTGTTCGATTCAAGCACGAAGTCGACAACATATTCGAAACCAACGTGGAAAACTACATTGAATTAGATATGTTTTATTAAAAAGTATTTCCAGTAGACAATAAACACATGGTCCTCACCACATCGATTTTTCTAAAACTTTGTCTCTAATCTGCTAGTGTTGTGAGTTTCTAGAAGGAGAAACAAAAATCTTTTTAATGTATATGATTTGATACAGGTTTTTATGCTGGTTTCAAATAGTTTGTCAATGTTATGCCTTCATCTGATTTGTCCACCAATGGGAAAAAAATTTTAATTGTAGTAAGATAAGACACACATTTCTATTGTTTGTTAGGAAAAAAATGAGATAAGTTGACAACAGCATTAACCAATACGTAGTATGCAGCATGTTGGGGCAACCTATACTAAACACGACGTTTTTTTAGTCCTCTGGCGCTGTGGGTGTGGGTTGATGAAATACTCAAAAATATATCCACACCCTTTTCTTTTAGAATTTACCCTCAGAAAAAAAAGTGCATGTTAGTTTGATCTTCAAAGTTGAAGTAACGGATTTTTGTTTTTATTTAAGACTTATACTCATTGATTTAGATATTTTTATCGAAATGAATATGAATGCATTTTTACTATTTAATAATTAGAATAATATTGATCAATTTAGATAAATCGTTTGAAGTTTATTTATTAAAAAAAAACTATTCAAAATAAGAGTAACATAATTTGTTAACTAATTCATTGAATTCTTTTAAAATTCAAAATATAGAACAAAGATATTTCTTGAAATCAATAGTTTCCTTGAGTATATCTTTACTAATGTCTTTATTTTCTTTTTTTGCTTAATAGGTAACATGTTATTTAACTCGCAATTTTTTTGATGTAATCAAAAATTTATTAACATATCAAACAAATCATAATGATAATATAGGTCATTTAACTACTGGTACTGATATCGATGAAACAAGTATGGATGAAATAATTACTACGGATGAACAAACTTTAAGTGATATTCCAACGCGTAAATCAACAAAACAATCTCGTTATCAACAAATACCTAGCGAATTTGGTTTAAAAATTTTACAAGATTCACAAATAATATCCCAACATTGTTTAATGATACGTTTCGATGGACTTTCATGTCCAGATACATCAGCAAAAACAAAAATGTCTCATATATGTTAATCATTAATAGAACATATTTCTATATTAATAAATGGGAATGATAATTTTCTAAGACAATTTTATATTTATATATCATGTGTACTTAAGATTCATGATGATAATGAACCACTAGTTTGTACATTACTTTCATTAGTTATATTAATGTATGATACATTTCAACAAATATCATCGAATTTATTTACTAGTGTTCTACTGAAAATACCTGATGTTACAAATGAACAGCTTAGTAATTATCGTGATAAAATACAACGACAATTAAATGGTAAACTAATAACTGATACATAAAAAACAAAAGATATTAAAACAATTAGTACAACCGTTAATGAGTCAAAATGTGGCACAAATGTTTAAACGTGAACTATTAGTACTTAATAATCTACCACCATTAACACGTTTTTCAAAATGTTCATTTCATTCAACTTTACAATATCATCAACAAACGAATATAGATAATGAAGATGATCATGGATTAGTTAATCTATTTTAACATATTGAAAACTAGTCAGATCTGATGATTTGTTCTGCAGTTTATGTTTTTTTTTTATACAAGCGTTTTTGCGAATAGTACGAATGATGATGATGCGCTACATATTTTTATTTTCTTTCAATGTAGTATTCTTTATTGTTCATTATGAATCGAAGAATAAAATATTCCTAATCAAGGTGGATTGTCCTTGTCTTATTTTATAAATTGTGTTCTAAATGAAAATGGCTTCATTGGAAATAAACAAAGATGATAGTTTTGAACATGATGATTATAAATTTTTATTTATAAATGACACATATTACTGCTATAAAAAAAGAAATTGTTAGCACAAGAGACAAATCGATAAAATGATTTGATTATATTCAATACTGTTGTCGTTTCTTTAATATAATTTGAAAAACTTTTTTAACCTAAATTCTAACTATAAATGTTTTTAAAACATTTCATCCCTCCTTAACGAAGACTATGGGTATGATGTCCATTGAAAATAATTCGTGGTCATAGCTCATTGTTGCATATATATTACATTTTCAAAGTATTTTTTAAATGAATACTGTATCACTCTTCCTGGTGTTCTTAAGAGCGATCATGTCGTTCACTAAAACAAAAAACTTGTATAAAAGTACCATATCTACGCAATAAGAAGTTAAAGGTTCGAACTCTTCACAATATTCAACAATTTTCATTGATTTTTGTTTTAATGGATGCAATATCACTTTTACTTTACTCTATCTAATATTGATGAACGAGATGTTTATATATTTTTCTAATTTAATATAATTACACAGGACTTCTAATAATGACATTTCATCTCATCAATCCGATTTAATATCATCAAATTTTCACTCACATCGTTGGATATTTTTATTTGATAATTTAAAACGATCTATTAAACAAATCTATCAAACATGCGAATTAAGAACGATTTTAATTGTTGGTTTTATTTTTTTTTACATTAAAAATATTTATATTTAGGAAATGACAGAACTTCTTTATCAATATTATAACGATTTTCAAATACTTATGAAAAATTGTCAAGATATACAAAAGCTCGATAATGATATCGATGAAAGAAAAAGGTGAACAACTTTGAAACCTATATTAGAGAATTTTTCTCAATTTTCAGCAATTATTTTTCAGATTGCTTATACCAATATGCTTTCCTATCTGTTAGCTAGCCTGATTCTTTCCTAAATATTAACAAACTAAAAATTTGAATCTTTTTTTCAAATGAAATAACTCATAAGATTTTTCTTCTTTTTCTTTTCTTTAGACCCTTCGAACATTCTCAATCAATATGCAACGGTAATTTAATAAAAAATATTAAATATGAAGATTATTTATTTCTTTTTCTTTTTTATCATATCTAAATTAGGTGAACTATTTTTTTTCTGATGAATTATCATGTCGACAGAAATGTTTACATAACAGTGATATAAATTTACATGTAAATAAATTTTCTCATCATTATTTATTTGATACAAATAAATTTAAATGACAAAAATCAAACACATATCGTAAATCAACAGAAAGATCTAGTTTACTTTCTTTACCATCATTATTTTCAGCAACAACATTAAATGGAAGTACAAATCAATTACTATTATTATCATCAAAACGAATTTTCTCCGAAGAAACAGCTGGTGATGCTGATGATAAAAAAAAAGATATTCGAGATGAATCAATTCATACTAATCGACATCATGGACATCATCATCAATTATCAACAACATCATGTTATCGTTTTAAACAACAAAATTTAACATCAGAAGATGATTATGAAGAACTTCTATTGAGAAACCATCGTGGGATGATGAATTTTATGAATCGAATAAGTTTCAATGAAATTAAGTATTCAAAATAATTTTCTTAAATATGTATTTTATTATTAGTTGGTATTTATTCTAGCAAATATTTGACGCATTTTATCAAGAAGAATCATCAGCTGAAGCATTACCAGCTGAATAAGAATGAACAATTGCTTCATCAATGGCTGGGTATGGGTCTAGGTCTGGGTCTGGGTGTAGGTGTGGCTGTACTCGTCAGTATTGCATTTACTCATACACCCACACTCACATACCAATACCCACACACACCCACACCCTCAGCAGCAAAAAAGACCAAGTCACAGGTGAGCATTACAATAATAATTATTTTAGGCTTAAAGCTAATAAAAATTACATCTTATTTCAGTCAATTTTTCCTACCCGAAAAATAATAAGTCGTTCGAATTCAATTATACTTTTTCGTCCTAATTCAAAATTAAATGAAAAAAGAGTCATATAGATTTAGTAGAGAAGCTAAATTATGAATAAAATTGATGATAACTTCAACAACAGGCTTTACATATTTCCTTATTTTTAGAAAAATTTACATTTTTTTACTTAAAAAATCTATTCTTTTCATTTAAGAAAAAAAAATTTTAATGTAATTCCTAGAAGGAAAAATCTATTTTTTTAATTGAATTTATTTATGAAAAACTAAATTCTAATTTATTTAATGAGGAAATTTTTTATTTAAGCAATGATTTTTGTTTTAAAGGAAAAATTTGATTTTTGATGGTTCTTTCATGTAAGAGTAAAGACTGTTACAATTTTAAGGAACATTGATTAAGTTTCTTCAACGAGCATAATTATGTGAATTGACATTCTCTAACGGATACTCGTCTATTTATATACCGGTGCATCCATTGTCTGGTTACCAATCCTCCTTATTGGAGAGTTGTTAACGGTAAATGTGACGTACACTGAGAATGAGCAGTACGTATTCGGTCCATGTACGACACATGGACTGTTGCGTTCCAACGTGTCATACGCGTACTACTGCCATTCCGTTCGACATGGGTTAGTTCTCAGTAGGCGATCAGTAGAATACCCATCATTATTGTAATGACGCGTCGTGCTGTGGTAGCTTCACATTGATCAATATCTCACGTAGAAAACGAAAAATGTTGGTGATAGCAATCGGCTCTCTCTTAATAGCAACACGATTCATAATTGCTTTCACGTGTACTATTAAGGGACAGAACAAGGCTACATCATTGAGTCAACACAATGGAGTGCATTAACATGTGATAGGCAATCAACGATTAAATCAAATGTTTAGCGTGATAAAATCAGTGTTGCATTTTTTCATCTACACACAATGACAATGGTTGGTTTTTCGTCGCCCAGGCGAAGGTTGCTAACAAGGAGACTCGGTGTAATTACTTCCGCGAATGCTACTGTCATCTGGTTCTCCACCGTTGCTACTCTTTACGGTCGATGGGCCCTAGATGGTTTTCCTAAGTATGACCCAGATACTGGTCGAGTGCAATACATATCCGATGTGGGTGCCGAATACAGACCTGGATTCATTTTAGGAACAAGCGTTACGGGTCTATTCTATTCGTTGACACTTCTCTTCACTAAATTGTGCTATGATACAAAAAATCAATCACGATTTAAACATGTTGTCTCGACTGCATTTATTATTTCTGGTCTGATTGCAGCCGCATCTCTCATTATTTTGGCGATCCTCGACTCCCCAAAACATCCCGCATATCACTATGTGTTCGTCGGACTATTTATCATGTTCACTCTATTCTCGACATTATTCAATGTTGCCTATCGTTTTACACGAAATGAGTTCAATATAATTCTGACTGTTCGTATCGTTTTCATCTGTTTGATCATTCCTCTGATAACTGCTTACATCGTATTGGCTGCAGTCAAGACACAACACAATGGGACGATACCGAAATCAGTGGCAGCATCAATAGAATGGTCTATTGCTCTCTTGTATGTTTATTATTTGTCACTGTTCATCGTTGAACTTAACTTCTACGATCAATGATCCACACCCATATCATAAAACCTGCATAAAAATCAGTCATTTTCATATCAACAGACTTGAAGTTTTCGATCTCGTGCAGAGTTGATATAAAATACATTATTCGAAAGAGCGTGAAAAACTGAGTATTGAGTACAAATTTTCAAAAATGAGTACACTATAGCCCCCAGCAGTTTTTTTCAAAATACATTTACAAGCAAGAATTGCTGTTGTCTTTTTTTTCTCGCTAAGAATCTTTTTTTTTCTTTCTGTCGTTTTCTCTCTTAAGCGCTCTCTTCTCCTTCTGCACATGCGCATGCATTGACGCATATGAGTGTTCATATACTATGTAGATGCGTATATATATATATGTTGATGAAAGAAAAAGTCCTAATATTTTTATGATGATGAAGATTGTTCGGAAAAACTATTCGTAAAAATATTAAGATAAATACTATTGTGATAAATTATGACAAGACTAATCTATTTAATTAACACAAGAGCATAAATGGTTACTCAAAATTCAAATATTCAACATCATATTTTAATTGTTTAGAAATGTCATATAACTATTCTCATTGATCGATTTTTGATCAAATTGAAAGTCGCTTCTCTCATCCTTGTTCTATGGATAATGAAAATCAATAGAAAATATATTTAAAATATGTTTCTATGTAACCTATGGTTTTTTTTTCGTTTTCTGTTGATCATCGCTATTTTTTGCGCTACTAAGATGAAACATTGGCGAAGACTAATAATATATGTATTGTTCAATACAGACAAGACTCCATACTTTTTCTTTTAATTGTTACAAAAAAGTAATAAATAATTTAACTTAGACAGGCTGAAAAACGTGAGATTCATCGATTGAAAAAAGTCTTTTATTTTTTTGATTCAATATATAGTAATATTAAGGGAGCCTTATATTTGATTATTTAAATGAGATTTCGACTGTAATATTATTTGATATATGAAACTAAACTTGCAGCAGATACAAACTTTCTTTTAGTTGGTGGTGACTAAAGATGTTTTCTATTTAATTTTTAGTTTATATTTCTAATTTTTAACGGATGAAATCTTTTGAGTTGTGTTCTCTTGTTGCATTTATTTGTTTCAATATTTATTAAATCTTTGATCTTTCAATTTTAATAATAACAACAACGGAATAAAAAGAAGATATATCATTATTATGGCAAGTCTTGTAATCAGAACGTCATTGAAAAAAAAATAGCATGTTGATTTTCCTTTGTAGATAAAGTCACATACACGTATATATATGTCGCAGGAGGAATTAAAATTTAGGAGGATTTAAAAATTAAAATTTTATTTTCTCCAAGGACAACTTAAAATTTCAATTTTAACCGACTATTTTCTAGGAAAAATTAAAATGTTAATTTTTCCTATAGGAGAATTTTAAATATTTCTGAATATATAGTATCAACTTCGTATTTTAATTTTTCGTATAGGAAAAATTAAAATATCGTTTACTTCCAATAGAATCGATAGAAGATCAGAACGAAATAAAAATGTAGCCTTAAATAAACGATTAATCCTACTTCGGTCGAAAGGTAAAAATATCGAAAGATAAACATATCGAAAACAAAAATGTGAGATCAAAATGTGGATGTAAGAGTTAGCATGAGAGTGAAAGAACTTCTTCCAAATACTATCATTTTCAACATTTGTACCTTTCAACATTTTTACTTTCCATCAAAGTAGGCTGAATCAAATAAACGTTGCGTCTATCATTTAACTAGATATTTAAATATCACTCTCTCATTTTCATGGAAGAATTTTATAAATTACTAGATAAACATATTGAAGGTGTAATTTACAAATTTCAAGATAAGTTTTCTATAAAACAGTCCTTATATGATGACATAATACTGGTTATCTGTGATGATTGGTGGAGATTCTCAGATCAAATTCTGGACGAAAAAAAATTTTAAATCATAAAAAATTGGTGATCAGAATGTTGTACTTGAAATAAAATCTAACAATTCTGTTGCTACATACGAAAATGTATGCACAACAATAACACAATGTGGTACTAAATGTCATTCATCAAAAAAGAAACCATGATCATATGTCTAGTTCAATTTTTTTATTTTTGAAAAATAAAATTAATAAAATTAATAAAGTTGATACTATATATTCAGGAATATTTAAAATTCTCCTATAGGAGGGTGTGGGTGTGGGTGTGGGTTTGAGTGGGTGAGTATGGGTGCGGGTGTGCGGGGGTGTGGATTTGGGTGTGTGGGTGGGGATGGGTGTGGGGTGTGGGTGTGGGATGTGAGTGGCAGAATGTGATAAAATAAATAAGAACCACTGCCACACCCCATCACAAAAAAGTAAAGTATTATTTTTCTATACAAAAATGAAGTACTTTTGCTGCTATTTTCAGATTGATCTCAGTAGTATTCTAATTTGTATAATTAGTCGAACGGATAAATATACTGCTAAATTTCACTTTTTCAGAAATCATTAGGCAAATATGTGATCTCATGTAGTGGGATCAAATGCGACGTTTAAAATTACCACATCAGATAAGACAGGATTTTAAAAGATTGTTCCGTTCCATGTGCGATAAAATATTTTTAAACATATTCCGTTCGATAGGACCATTTTTTGTAATATCCAAACTTATCCGATGACGAATTCTGGTGCGTGTACGTCTGAATATCAAATATACAAGCGAGAAAATGAAAAGAATAATATCAGAATAACGACTAATTCAACACTTGAAGATAAAAGACAAATAAGTATACTTGTCCATGATATGAAAGCGGAAGAAAAAGAAACGTTTCTCATCAGAATATTCTCTAGAAGGAGAGGAAGATAGCGTAAGAAGAGATCCAGTGTTAACTATTTTTTATTTTCTCGGACGCGGCTGAAGATAAGAAAAGAAAATGAAATCAACAAAAAGTTATGAACTCATAGAAGACAACAAAAATAATTGATGATGCACACAGAAGATCCAACAGTCATTTTATCGAAGAAAACAAACTGATTATTGTTGCTACATTTTCGTCAATTAGCCTGACGTTCTACTAG